CTCTTTCCATTGAGTCCAAGCATTTTTGCTTTGAGTGAGAACCCTGGCTTGATGTAATTAAATGCTAAGCAATAACAGTATTTTGGTGACATTTTGTTACATACTATATTACTCTTTTATTAAATGCTATTTATACTGGTCAGCGGTAAAGGGAAACAAAATTGCCAAAAAACATGGTGGCTAAAAACCATCAAAGTTGACGCTAGTCAGTGTATAAAACTACTGAAAGAAACCAAACAAGATCAGAAAGTGTGAAAAGAGCTGGTCCATAAAATCACCAAGGATCGGATATGGTTGAAAAGCTAGCATTAGCTTTATAATAATTAGCATTATTACATGCTTTGTGCAGTCTTTTTTTTTTACTTTAAAAAGCAGGTATACGTAAATAAGCAAATAAATAAAATAATAGATATTTATAATAAACACTTTAAGTCACTTTAGTATTAATTTGTATAAATAATTTACCATTGTAATAAAGTAATACATAATAGAATCACAGTATCTCAGAGCAATTAATTTCATAATTGTCTAATTCTTTTCAGTACAGTATTTTGGCTTCTTAACTACTGTATACACAGCCGCAACCAATCTTATTTCTTTGGCCTTTTGCAGTCTAACTTTATCTGAGTATCTATTATATTAGATAGATTTGTGCATCTTATCTGGATATCCTCAAGGCAATTTGGGGTTATTCCTAAACTGACCATCATATTTATTTATTTGATTTATATTGCCACCTATTCGCCCATGGCGACTCAAGGCAGCTTACACAATGTAAAATCATATTTAAAACAAAAAATAAAAATAAAAACAATAAGAACTAACAAAAAGAATCAAATAAATTAGTAAAGTACAATAGAACAAAATTTGGGAAAACAAAAACAAAACCAACTCCCACCCACCCCCACCCCGACGACAGCAGGTCAAACTAGCCATTTGATGGGTTCCATCCCTCTCTGGGTTTCCCAGGCACGTTGGCAAAACCAGGTCTTCAGTGCCTTTCGGAATTGTATTAATGAGGGGGCCATTCTAATCTCTGGGGGAATGATGTTCCAGAGAGATGGAGCCACCAGAGAAGACCCTTCTTCTAGGGTTCACCAGGTGTATCTCCCTCAGGTGTGGGACCCGCAGCATTCCCTGCCTCCTTATTCTAATGGGTCGGGTAGATATCACTGGCAAGAGATGTTTCTTGAGATAACCTCAGATAATATATCTGAGTTCCAACTCACCCTCTTATAAACAAAACCCCAAAGAAACTCTGTCCCCGATAAGTTTTTCCAAAATCCATGATGGCCCTGCACCAGCAATGTTGCCCCATCCAAAAGATTATTATGATGGAGAATGATAGAAGGAGTTCTAACTGCAAGCCTGACGATCAGATCACAATTGGTCACTCCAGCCCCTAATCGTTGTGCCCAACTAGTATGTTATACGTAGTACATTGGTTGCTAACGAACTCATGAGGAAGGTGGCTTCTAGGAACTGACCGGCCAGTATGGAAGCTCCTGGAGAGATTGAAAAAGGAATGACAGGTCTAATTCTAATTCATATTACTAGTAGAAAATATTATCAGGAAGTATTATGGGACATGGTAGTATTGGCAAATAGTTACCAGACAAATCTCCCTCTTAGAACCCTCATATATGACATATATTTATTTTAAAGAACCTTTATGGTGGATTTGTACTAAATTCTATGCCTGTTTACTTTAAAGTATTTATTATTTTGTCATATTTATATCTTGCTTTTTCTCCTAAACTCAAGGGATCTAACTTATATATTTCTGCTTTTTATCCCCGCAATACCCTGATAGGTAAGTTGGGCTAACCCATAGTCACTCAGTGAATTACCAGGCCTGAGAAGGGATTGGAATTTAAATCTCTACAATCTTAGCGTAACAAAATTGACCGAATTGGGTTGAGACTCCTGAATGAACTCACATGGAATGTGGCTACTACAGGAAGTTCTTGTTTAGTGACTACCTCATTTAGCAACCATTGCAAAAGGAATTTTATGACCAATCGTTGCATTTATGATCTTTGTAGGATTTTAAAACAAAGGAAAGCTGAAGTAAAATAATGAGTGCAGTGACAGTTTCACTTACCAGTTACTTCATCAGTACTTCAACATTTCACAGACCACACTTGGGAGTATTTTATAGTTTTGGTCGCCAAGATACAAAAAAGATGTTGAGACTTTAGAAAGAGTACAGAGAAGAACAAAGTTGATTAGGGGACTGGAGGCTAAAACATATGAAGTTTTGTTGGATGAATTGGGTATGTCTAGTTTAATAAAAAGAAGGACTAGGGGAGACATGATAGCAGTGTTCCAATATCTCAGGGGCTGCCACAAAGAAGAGGGAGTCAAGCTATTCTTCAAAGCACCTGAAGGCAGGACAAGAAGCAGTGGATGTAAACTAATCAAGGAAAGAAGCAACCTAGAACTAAGGAAAAAAATCCTGACAGAACAATTAACAATTTGTCTCCAGAAACTGTGGGTGATTGAACACTGGAGGTTTTTAAAAAACGATCAAACAACATTTTGTCTGAAATGGTATAGGGTTTCTTGCTTGAGCAAGTGGTTAGACTAGAAGACTCCCAGTGTCTCCCCTAATTCTATTATCATTTAACAACCAAGTTGCCAGTCCCAATTGCAGCCACTAAATAAGGACTATTTCTGTAGATTTGTGAGTATAGTTGGGTTCATAGACAGCCTTCAACTTTATTTTGTCATATTAAGTTTTTTGAAGGAAATTGTAAATATAAAGAAGAAAGAAATAATACTTAGTGATTTTAAATACTTATGTTACAATTTTCATGGTTTTGAGACCCAAAAGGCTAAAATGATACAGTATATTGAATGTATCACTATTATGTTTACTTTTCAGTTTTTTGTATCAAACTTGCTTTTTGATATGCTTTAGGATTATTTTATTTTATTCTATCCTGATTTTAATTGCAGATTAATTCCATTATGGTTGATTTTTTTTAAAGGATGGTAATATTTGGCCTAACCATTGTCCTTCTAACATAGCCTATTATAATGAAGAGTCACTCTGTGAGTGAGATGGTGGTTTCTCAGTTTGATATATAAATAATATATAAATAAATAAAATGAAATAAATATCCATATAATTTTTAACATTGCAGTGCTTGACAATTCTCATTCATGTCTATCATTAGTTCCATATGTGATTTCCAGTACAGGCAAGAATAATCCATTTAACTTCAGGTATTGGTTATGAGGAAGAAATTTACCACAACCTACAATAATTAATTTAAGAATTAATCATTAAAGTTGCTACCCCACATTTTCTAAACAATCCTATTAAAACCCCAGTGAAGGCTTACTTCTAGAGCTACGCGGAATTGCACTCTAAATGAATTTTCTGAAGAATCCTCATTTTATGTAACACCACATTGTATGTTCCAAAAATGCAGTCATTTTAAAAAAATGTTTGAAAATGGTTTTTACTGCTATGTGTGGTGTTCATATTTATTCTGTTGGTCCTAATGTTGCCTCTGGGAGAAAAGGCTTTGCAAGAATTTTTTTTTTCATTGCAACATTCTGAAAAATCTGGTTCCAAAGCAGTACTTTTATGTGGCTGCATAAAGCATACAAAATTAGTAATTGGAAAGATGACAGATGAATATTTCAAACTGTACTTGTTCATAAAGTTAGAAAGATGAAAACTACATTTAATCTTGGTATAACTTTCCATACATGAATCTTCCATTTTTTTAAAAAGAATTGTTCTATTTTATCCTCAGATACTGTATTGAAAATAGTTTTTTTAAAGTCTAGACAAGCACAATACCCCCCACAAAGCTTTACTGACGTTATCATTACTTATGATATCTGGACTTCCACTGACAGAAATTAATTTAAATGTTATTTCTTTGTATTTCCCTCTGATAATTTTGTCTGGAGTTTTTAACCATTAAAGGTGTTTGTTTCTCCTTCTTCCTACATTCTTTTTTAAAGGAAGATTTAACTTCAGGTATTGCTTATAAGGAAGAAATTTACTATAATCTCGATAATTAATTTAAAAATAAATAAATAAAATTGCTATGCAACATTTTCTAAAAGAAAATAAACCCTATTAAACCCAACAAGGCTTGCTTCTTAAGTTATAAAGTGTATGTAAAGTAACAGGCATAAAAGCAGATTAAAAAAAAAACTGGATAAAATATTACCTGAGAGTAAGTCCCTCTAGGCCTAGGGTGATGTCTAAGTAAATATGTACAATATAACTATATGGAAATTGGATACAAATTGGATAGTTTAAAGGACTGTTGTGAGTTACCTTTTTTTAGTAATGGAGCCAATCAAGAAAAGATCTTATTTTAAAAAGTTGCTTCCCCACACATTTCACAAAAGGTTGAGGATATGGATGACACTGAGCCATCCATTTTCATTCCCTTCTGTTCCATTTTCTTTTCTTTTTCAGTCTGTTTTGTGGAAATGCTGTTAACTCTCACGCAGCAATTTGAGGCATCCCTGCAATACATCAACACAAGAGACAAATACATTTTGTTTCTATACAAACATGTTATCGGGTCTCTTTATATAAATATATAAATGTTTTCGGCTTAGAACGGGGTAGTATTGATTTTCCTTGCTGTTACCCTTCGAGCTAATATTAGTTGTTTTTTTAAACGCACCTGGTTCTATTTCTTAAAGGGAGGGGAAGGTGGAGGGAACCCCACCACGGTCTTATTAATTAAGATGAAGACATAACGAGTGAGCAACATCGAGGCATTCTGATGATTTGCACGCCTTGGGTCTCCTCTCCTATTTAATCTTTAATCTTTCAGGAAGGGCAAAAGATTCGCCGCGGTTCGGCGAGGGATGCTGCTCTGCTTTTTTTTTTTTTTTTGGGTTTGGGGGGGGGCGGGGGGGGGGGGGGGGGCAGCGAAGTAAGATTCAACGGCAGCAGGGAGGAGCTGGCTGTGTGTGTATGTGTGTGTGTAGTGTGCGCGCGTTGGCCGCCCTGTTTCCTGGTGCTCTGCTCCCTGACCCCAGTGGCAGTCCTTACTCATTGCACTGTTTTCTTCCTTCTTCGCTTTTTTTCTCTCTCTCTCCCTCTCTGTCTCTCTCTCTCCCTTCTCTCTTTCCTTCTCGTTCCCCAGTTCAAGAGGTCGGACTGCTCTCATTTTTCTCACCCCCCTTTTTCTCTTCTCTTCTTTTTCTTCCCTCCTTCCTTTCCTGCCTCTCTTTCGTTTCCCCACACCCACCCCCGGGCTCCTTTCGGGTCGAAGGTTCTGCCCTGCCTTACACCAGCCGCCCACCTATGCCAAGGTCTCCCTGGCTCTTTCGCTCTCTTGTAACCAGCGGCTTCACGGCAGCGTCGCCCCCTCCCCTCATGGATCGGCTCCTTCCCCAGCACTGAAGGCATCCTTAGGAATACACCTCCACCTCCAGGAAAATAAAAAGAGGCAGAGAAGGTAAATCGTCCGCCCCGTTCAGAGAGGAAGGGGGAAAGAGGACTCCAAAGGAAGAAGGGAGAGGAGAATTACTAATAACAAACACAAAGCGCTGGGTTAGAGGTGCCTTGTCATGTACAAGGAGATCAGAGAGGGCAACCACCGCGAAACAATAATCAGACTCAAAACCGGCTGCTTATTTGCCATTCGCTTCTGGGTAGAACTGGGGGTTTAAAAGGGGGTTTGGAAAAGGAAAGCTAATTTGCTGATCTGCGTGAGGGTCGGTTTCTTTTGCTTCCTCCTCCTTCTTCTTCTTCCTCCTCCTTTCCCACCCTGGCTTGCAATGCCCCCATCTCTCCTCCTCCTCTTCTTCTTCTCCACCTCCTGCCCCCCTCCCTGATTCGGCGTTCATTTCTTGTCGTTGCGGAGTGGGGTGGGTGGGTGGGTGTCTCGGGAGGCGGTTTGGGAATAGATTTGGCAGAGGAGATTAATTTTGCTCGCTGTTTACTAGCAAGTCTCGGGTGATCGGGGTTACAATGTTAGAGCACGACCGGGGGAGGGTAGGCCAAAAGGGAGCATTGTGCTGTGCAAGGCTGCCGGAGAAAGCGAGGCGAAAACGGTAGATCGAGGGAGTGAAATGCAAAGTATAGTTAGCCTAAAAAAACTGAAACGTGTGGCTGGCGGGAGAGAAGGACGGCGCCGGGAGGGGCGGGGGGAGAAATCGTTTGTTCTTGCCGTATTTCCTCGCTTTCCAAGAGGCTTTTTTCTTTTTCACCTCTTTCTCCCCACCTCCCCAATTTCCATAGGGGAAAAATGATTCCTGGGGGAAAGCTGGGCAAAAAATAAAATAAAATTAAAAAAAAGTACTGAGTGCAAATGTGGTTTTTTTTTTAAACTATAGCTGGAGTTTTCCACGTTTCTTTCACATTCAAGACAGCTACATTTCCTGCCTCTTTCTCTCCTCACACCCCCGCCCCACAACCCCTTCGCTGCTTTTCCAAAAAATGCTTTGAAATCTATGGTCCCCCGAGGCCTAAGCGCCCTTGGAAACCTTTGCATTTTATTGGGATGTATTCGCCTCCCTGTTTGCATGCTGTTCATCGCGATTGTTATATTTTTGTTTACCTTCCTTGCTCTAGGATTATGTCATGCCCCCCCCCCGCCCGGCATCCTCAACCCGACCTCCTGAAAGTGTCGTAGCGTCTTGAGAAATAGGGAGTTGGAGCGATCGGCTTGTATTGGCGAGGAGCGGGGAGTAGATTTTTTTTTGGTCATTGCAGAGATCTGAATAGGGGGGAAAATATGAAAACTTTAAGCGCGCGCGCGCCCAAAGCCATACTTAGGCAGTAGCCTGCAAAAGGGGTTTCGAGAAAGGGGAATGACATCCACCCCACCCTCCCCAAAAAAAGGTCAATAGAGGGGTTGAAAAACGTGCATCTTACTGCTGGGAGTATGCTTGTTATGGGTTAGCAGTGACTTGATCAGGGTTATCGTGCCAGCTTGAAAGGAAGGGAAGAATCAGGTTGGGATGAATGACGTTGGGAAGAGAGGGGGGAGCGATAGAAAAGGCAGGATGGTGCGCAGTCAAAGCTATTGGCCGCTGATTGTGATCAATCATTCCGAGCCCTGGCAAGAGGGAATGGGAGAGGGAGAGACGAACCAGCCCCAAATACCCTGCAAGGATTCAGAGGAGTGCAGCCACCTATCCGAGAAAGAAAAGGGGAGAAAGTCCACCCAGCGCTGCTTAGATGGGCATGGAGTGACGGCCACCAAGAGGTAGTGCGTGCAACCTGGGACGTCTTCCTTGGTCATAGTCCCTTTCAGCTAAAGGGTCTGGAGGAAAATGCATCTTTGCAACAGAGGGAGAGGCTTGACACTGTAAGGGTTTCTTTTCTAAAGGGTCCCCAAGTGTTGCGGGGTGCATGAGGGAGTACCGGAGGGATGGGTTTTGATGAAGGGAAAACTGGCTTGGTCTCTTTGAAAGGCCGGATGTGTGGGATAATATTTTTCTGCTTAACTGTTGCTTTGATGGAACTCATGATCCCTTCCTCCGCCAGTGACAGTTTACCTAGCATTGGGAATACAGTATTCCTAATGCTGGTTCTGATCTGTTGGTATTGCACAAGATTGTAGTGAGAGTGTAAAGTTGCGGAGGGGCCAGATGGGAAGTTGAAAAGATATCGGGCTAGTAGTAGCTGACCACTTCTCTATCTTATTAAGAAAACTTCATAGATGTGTCTCTGTGAGTGTCTTTGTGAGTCTCAGAGGCAAAGTTGGACTGGAGTCTTCTTTGCTTTTTCACATATACACAAACACACAGATTTAATCCACACTCCTTACACTGACAAAGAAATAGCTTTCCACTGAGAATGAGGCTTGTTTCTGAGTAAACATGTATTGATATGCATATTGTCTATTTGCTGCTTTATTTTGTATCATATTGGAGATAATGCAAGCCTGTAAAAGTGGTCTAATGTGGGTATTCTTTCCTCTTATCTCAAATATTTCAGGATTTCTCTGGTTAGTGCTAGTTAAAAGTAAAGGTAAACTAACACTCCCAGTTGATGAATTAAATGATGGATTTCTCTTTTCACTCCCCATGTTATGGATGTTTTTTTTCCTCTCAGCAAATAATGGCTTTGAGTATTATTTTTAATTTTCTATTTTGCCACTGGTTAAAAATGCAATCCTTCACAATGCTCTGTGTTTTGAGACAAAATTGCAGTGTAAATGTTATCAGTGTCCTGCTTTTATAGACTTCAAATTGAAGCAGTGAATTCATTTGAACTGGTGGTGTTTTTCCATCATGTCAACTTTATTCTTGTAGGGATGTCTATCATCATTTTGGGGTTCTTTCCTGAATTCTATAATCTTGCATGAGATAATCCAGGGTTATTGAGTTTTTGGTTATATTAGCTCCTGCATTAAAATGAATGCCAAGGTCAAATCTATTCCAAAGTATATGTCCTTAAGGGAATGATTGTTCTAAGGAGAAGAAAAGAATTATATTGTTAAAACAAATCCTTATGGGAGGCTAATACCAGCATGTATAATAAAAGTTTTGAAGTAGTTGACTTTGCCTTATATTTTCTTCAAAGAGTTATTCATTAAAGATCACAGTCATTCTCTTTAATATGAGAGTTGTTTTGCACTAGAAAGACATTAAAATACAATTAATAAAAATTGTTTCTTTTGATACAAAATAATATTTCTGAGTTTGATATTTACTGATGGACATTTAAAAAGCTGTATTTTTCTTCTGTTCAATAGAATGTGAACATAAATGAAATATTTCACTTCTTAACAATTCAGAAGTGAAGTTCAAGATTTTCTTCATGTGTATCAGTATTCTTAAGCTGTAACATTTTCCCCATTATAATTGAAAGTTACATAGAAAATAAATGCAATTGAATTAAGACCTTAAATTCTCTTCAGTGAGTTTTTTTATAATATGTAACATTAATTCTGTCAGTTAATAAAAATACAATGGCATCTATTTTTTAAAGGGCAGAAAAAGTATGGGATTGTATTTCATTAATGTTGTCTTTTATCCAACAGAATCTGCTTTGTGTGAGGAAAAAAATTGCTCTTCCATTTCAATATTACTGCCTAATGTACTTCAAGACTAAAATTCTCACAATACAAAGTGTATTTTTCCCTCTGAGCTCTCAGGGCTAACATTCTTTTTTAATGACAGTCATTTCTCTAACGGGAAGATGTTTTCATTTGTATTTACTTTTCAGTGCAGTGCAATTATGTAGCTCCACACTGCACACTGCCTTCATAGTTAGTATCTCAAAAGAGAATTACAGTCTTCACTATAGAACTGCAATTGGAAGCAGGTGTTGTATTTTACTGTTATGCAAAATAACAGTAAAATATAATTGTGGTGGAAATTAAGGAAACAGCTGCAAAGTTGGTATGGAGGTTCCTTCATTATAATTTGTAGACAGTTATCTTGCACGAATAACTGGGCAACTGTTTTATGTACTGAATTTTATATACGCATACGTACATATATATCCCATATATATATGGGAGATTCCTTAACCTGGTTACCTTATGAAATCTTATGTAGGCCTGAGGTTATATAACAATAAAAGGGAAATGCCCATCGTAAGGCATCTGTCATTTAGAAATTTGTTTCTTAAATTTTGTGCTGAAGTAGATTTTAAATTTCATTGTATGCTCTTATACATTTAATTTTCAACAGTATTTGAATTCAAAGGTAGCATCATTGTAGGAAAAGAGCCTCACAGTATACAATGTGAGACTTTCTGGCTATTCCTAACTCTAATCAGTTATAGAAAAGGTATATTTCAAGTTTGGAATAGTATAGGGCTCCAAATGTTATGTATTTTGGAGTTACTGAAAATGGTCAGATATTTTTTTAAAAAAATATTTTTATCCTACCGTAGAAGTTTTCATACTCCTTCCTACAACATTTTTAAAAGTAGTTTTTGGTAATAAGGTAATGAGTTTTTTTTCCAATTGCTAGATTTAGAATCAGAAATATTATATTTATGCTTAATGGTAGGCTTTTAAAGTAACTTGGTCCAGTAACCAAAATTGGAAGCAGTGTAATATTTTCTGGTAGCAGTGGGCAGGGAAAAAAATCTGAAGAAAATGGATTGACAGATAAATACGTATGTATTAGGAGTAGAAGTAGGTGTGCAAAAATGCATTATTACAAGGTATTTGAATGCCCAAATTTATATACCTTTGAGTGGGAAATATTATTTTTAATGAAAATGGTTTGGTAAAAATTGGGATAGAAGATACTGTTTGCATCATGTAATTCAAATTGACCTGAACAAATATATACAGGATAAAGAAGTTATATAGGTAAAGTAAGCAAATAGAAATGTATGACATAGTTTAATCAATTTAAGATAAAATGGCTCATAGTAATAAATTACAGTTTTAAACTAGAGTGTACAGTTGTAAGTTTTAGCATGCAATGGAAATGTGTTAGAGGAACAAAACTTTAGGTGATAACTAAATTTAGCACATGAGTATTAAGTACTTTTCATTTTGCATGTAATGATTAAAAAGTAGGCAGCTCCAGTAGGATGATAAAATAGTAGAGAGAAGTTCTTCTACCTTATACTCCCTGGATCATTTCAATTGTCATAATTCACCAATCATAGCCAAGTTAAGTTCAAAGCACCTGGAAGGCAACAGATGGATGGAAGCTGCCCTTAGAACATATTCATTGCCTTGACAGATGTATGGATCGTACCAAAGTCCATCTGCTTGTGCAATCTGTTTCTAAAACTGGTCTAGGTACTTCTGTAAACTTGCAAGTGGTATATAATGGGAATGGCCATCCTTGCTTGTTTTCCCTCAGTCTGGTATTGAAGAGCATATTACTTCTAAATATAGATATTGTGTTTAATTTAAATCACTTATAAATTGAAGGATCTTATTTAACCTTTTGTAGCCATTTAGTCACCACATCTTAGTGTTTACCTACCACATAATTCTTACCTTTTGGACTCCTTTCCAGCGCTCTTTCTGGAAAATTTGTGCTTTTAATCTTTTTTCAAATTATAATTTTCTAAATCTTTGTTACATTTATCATGAGATTGATTTTGAAAATCAGAAAGTTATATTATCATTATCTTTTCCTTGTAACAAGTGCTATATCTTGGTCTTTTTATTTGCCCATTTTTTTAATTGCCCCATTTCCAGCTCTATGGCAACTTATGAAATGGAGTCACTGAATCTGATAAATAGCTATAATTGTATTTGTGAAATATGGCACATGATTCTGACAATACATTATTAAAACATCAGTGAGAAATGTAAGAGAAATTCAAAACGAAGAGTATAATTACGTTTGTTTGTTTTACAGTACTATAATGTAAGATAACTTACTCATAATGGTATGTTTTGACATTTGCCAAAATAAAACTATATTTGAAAAATATAGAAAGGAGGAAAAAGAGGAATAGATGACAACTGTTGAATTACAAGATACTTGTATGCTGAAACTTTTTTTAAAAGTGTGGCTTTTATTAGAACTGATAGATTTAAATATACAAGGAACATGGTTTTTAAATTCAATATAAAAATACTTTAACAACATTTTATTAGGATTAATAGGACATGCAAGCAAATATTGCAGCTTGGCATATGAACCAGCAAACCAGCTCTGTTCTAAGATACTCTATTCGATTTCCCTTCCTTCCTAGTTTTCCATTATGTTCTGGTCAGTCTGCAGAACATGATCACAACAAGCAAATATAATCTTTCCCAAAGATTGTACTTTTGAATGCCTACTGATAACTTTCTTCTTGGTTGTGAACAGTTTTGATTTTGCTTACATATTTGGAAATTGAGTTTGCTATGAGTATATATGCTGATTTGATACAAGAAAGATGCATCAAGGAACATAATGTTTTTAGATGGAATTTCAAAATGATAAATATCTCCATATTGTTGTCCAGAATTCTGCAGAGTTCATGAGGACATCTTTGGCTTCTGACATTGGCTGAAACACAATGCTCATTCCTGTCTTTTGCTCTGGAAAGTTGTAACTCGCTCATGTCTATAAAGAGGAAGCATGGCACATGGAATTCCTTCACAAGGCAAAGTGTCCATTTCTGTGGATGAATACAGCTCAAATCCAACCCAGGCATTCACACACTACAATATTAACCAAAGCCGATTCCAGCCTCCACACGTACACATGTAAGTACAGTTGAGCCATTCATGTTGTCAATCACTGTGTAACCATCTTTACTTATATCAGGAGATTGTAAAAAATCACATCTATCCTGCATTAATTATCCAATTTATCTGCTGTATGTTTGTAGTGGAGATGTGGATATTTCTAACATATTTTTCATTCATTTTTCAGGATTTTAATTCAGAATAGTTAACTAGGCTAATCTAAACAGTTCTAACACAATGACTTAACCATCATATAAGCATTAAAAAACAGAAATAAGTGGACTTTAAAAATCACTTGGCAATTTTATAGCATTTAGCAGGATTATGCCTCCAGGCATTTTTCCAAGGATAAAGATTAACATTTATTTATTTATTTGTTTGTTTATTTATTTATTTATTAAAAATGGAGCTGATTGAAATATTGGCTATTGTATTGTGTGAACTGCAATGAAGTTGTTTCCAACCCCAAGAATAGGATGTAGAAATTTTGCAATTATTGCTGCCCTCTGCTATAAATAAGTCAATCAAAAATGTCCAAAATGGGTTGCATAGTATATCAGATTCAAAGAGCTCCAGATGTCAGAGACTTGGTAAAACTCGAGCGCAATTTTGTATGTTAGCTGCAGGCCTTGTAACCGACTTGTAGCTTTATTGATTTCACTGGAACTTGCCAGAGGGACATATTTTGTGTAAATGTGAACACCCTTCCCCCTCTCTTCCCACTCAGCTGCGAAATAGGCCTAATTGGGACTAATTGTCTCCTGATCACTGAATCCTTTGTCCTCCTTCTTGTAAGGGAAACGTGTGCCGCATGCTGCATTCTTCTGTCAAGAAAGACAAAGGATTCCAAGAGGGCTGAACTATTAATCCCAAGAAATACAAATACTGTATTAAAATAATGTTTATGTCCCAGACTTAAACCAACAAAGGTAGAGGAAAAGATCTTTAGCTTAGTTTGCTTCAGTTTTGGTATTGTGGTTTCTTACAGCAGAAGGACTTAATACAGACCAAATGCTATTTCGTCTATATCTTTAAGTGTGTGTATGTATTGCATGTCCATGCTCCATAAACACACACCATTTTAAAAACTAAGTAAAGTCTTAAATTCCAGATTTCCTTCCCATTGTTTAGTGAATTGTGATCTTTATCAGGCTTTTTTTTTTTTTTTGCTAAGCTTTCCCCCCCTCTGGTCTAATGGATAGGTTAAATTATAAAACAAAGGGGCACCTCTTGACCTCACAGTGACCCAAAGCGAATGGGGTATTTCATTCATTGTGTGGATAATAGCTTTTGCATAGTGAGAATGCTGAAGCATGTTGCTACTTTGAACTCTACTTGGGAGGAGGTATAAAATACCTGATAAGATGTTCTCCATTGAAGGATCTTCTCTTGCACTGAGGGTGGTATGCAAGCCTTTGAGATATGCAGAGCTCCTCAGTAAATGGAAAGCTAGTCTATTTTCATCAATACAAAAAGAAAGGGTCATTGCCAATGCAAATATTTTAATCCCTTTAAATTACAGTTGCCTTTTCATGGACTAGTTTAAAAAAGGCTTTGGGCATGATGTAAAAAAGCATGTGGCCAGTTTGTACCTTAGAAGTTTAGTGGGTAAACTCTGAATTTTAGAAGCATTTTTGAAATAGGTGTAGTGGGTGTTTGAGGGAATGCAATTCAAGAGAAAAAAAATAGCCAGCTCTGCCTTCACATTTTTCTTTCCGCATGATTTAATAGGTTGCAATGAGAAAAAATTCCAAGTGTTATTTTAACAAATTACTTTTACCTGATCCGTTGAATTGAAATGAGCTACATTTGTTGCACATATTGAACCTGATAGTTCAATATGTCGTGTAGTTCATTTGTATTGTAGAGATTTTACAGGAGCTTTGAGTTTTCTTTGAAGCTATGGAAAATACAGAATGTTGAAATCCAGTTTTCCTTTTAAAAATAGGATGTTATTATTCTATGGAAGTGGAATCAGATTTTTCTCTACAATTAGTTGCAAAATAAAAATAAAAATAACATTTGTTTCTAGAAATTAATGGCTACATTGATGTATCTAAGTGCAACATTTTACAGGGATAGATTTTTGTTTATTTCTTGATCAGGTTAATTAAAGAAATTGCTGAAATCCAGAAAAGGTGTGCGGCTTGTTCCAGATTTGTTCAGTGAATTCCATGAAGTTGCTTAAGAAATAATAATTGAGCAAGACAAAATGTAAGATGATTTCTGGCAGAATTAAAAGATATAATGTTTATGATTGTTGGAGAAGGCTCTGTATATTTTTTGTTTCTTTGTACGTGCTTATTTTTGCTTAAGGGACTTTAATTCGGAGGTGTGCATCAGTGGTGGGATTCAAATTTTTTTACTACTGGTTCTGTGGGCATGACATATTTGGTGGGTGTGGCTTGGGGTTACGTGACTGGGTGGGCGTGGCTTGGTGGCCATGTGACGGGTGGTCATATGACGGGTGGTCATGTGACTGTGTGGACATGGTTTGGTGGTCACATGACTGGCTGCATGGCTTGGTGATCATGTGACTGGGTGGGTGTGGCCAATTCAATGTCACTCATGTCAAGGGGTGCCTCACCTGGCCCCTCCCCTCCCAGCCATTCCTTGTCACACCCAGCCTCAACATATCTATAGTTCTGTAAAAATGTTGTTCACCTTTTTTTGACTTTATTATCTATGTACTATAGATGTACTTTCATGGACCACTGAAAGGAGGAAATGGCTCACATTCTTTGCCCAAGAGGGTGATAGGCAACAGGCTTTTAGGGGGCTTCCAGAAAGAGGGGGGACAATGTATTTTCCCAAGCACCAGAAGGCAAACAATATATTTTCCAAAGCACCAGAAGGGTGGAAACTGAACAGAGAGAAGCAACCTAAAAGTAAGGAGAAACTTCCTGACAGTGAGAACAATTAACCAGTGGAACTGCTTGTCACCAGAAGTTCTGGGTGCTCCAACACTGGAGGTTTTCAAGAAGAGACTGGACAGCCATTTCTCTGAAGGTCCCTTCCCCCCAAGGTCCCTTCTAAGTGTTATTCTGTTATTCTAACACCTTTCCCGGGACATCTACTCAGATTTTGGCATCCTCAGAGTTTTCCTGCCTGAGCAGGGGATTGGACTAGAAGACTTCCATAGTCCCTTTCAACTCTGTTAAACGCACCTATATTTATGCTCTGGACTATTGACATGTAAACCCTGAAAAATACCTGGGCAAAAGAAAGGCAGTAAAATCATCCTAGGTGTAGGGACAGTGCAAAATATTAATATATGATAAATAATGGAACAATTAAAAATAATAGCAGAGTTTTATCTCTCCCCCCTTCCTTCTTCTTCTTCTTTTTTCTCTCTTTCTTTCTCCCTTTCCTCTTTCTCTCTTTC